AGCTGAAGCCAAATCTTCTTGCAGATTCCAAATAAATTTGATTGAGAAATAGTAATAACTAAATCCCGCAGTCCCGCAAATCCCGCAATTTCGGCAGGATTCCACTGCTACAACTGTACAAGTCTGAGTTACTATAATCTCAAAGTTTTACGCATGAGCCTTGATGCTGAGATAACCAAATCAAACACATACCAGAAAAAAGTGACATTTTCGCATTTTCGGGCTATCTCGATTTCTCAATTTTGAGATCCGGAAAAGTCCACCAAATACATTTTGGGTACCACTACGCGTGTACTGTATAACGACCAAGTTGGAGGTCCGTAGGAACTATCTAGAAGGTTAAGGATTTTGTGGGAGTTGAAAGGTTGTGATTTGGCTCCGTATTTTACCTGGATTACGAGTTGGTCTTTGGTGGCCATTTGGTAGAATTTGCTTCGCTCTATTGAATGAAATTCTTAGTCTGCCAGAAAATCAGAAATCCTAGTTTACTTCAAAAAGGAGTTCACTTTTGGGACAACCTAATATTGCGAGTTAATACCCTTTTACATGACTAGTGTGAATCGCAAATTTATCATCTCACATAACCTTGCCCAGAACAATGTTATTTGTTCAAATTCAATGTTATCTTTGTTGAGATTAGCAAAATTGTGTGAGATGATTAAGGTCGTTTCAGTTTGGAGTGCTGGATAATTTCGCAGAATGCAAAAATTGTGGTGTTGGTTTCAATCCTCAGAACATGTATACCGTGACCACCTACGGACGTCCTTGTAGCAGACCAGATAAGGTAATCCAGGACTTCACTGGATTTTTCTGCTCATTCCCTTATTTTTGGTATTGCAGTTCATTGTGTTGAGCGATCGAATTCTACCTAATGAGTATGTCCCTCGCATTAAGAAGGAAGTCGTGGAGGTTTGGTTTACCTTTTTGATCTCATTCTCGTCCTCCCGTCTCCCCATCCTTTTCCCAGATAAACTTCTAATTTCAATATTTCAGATTTGCAGCAAGGCTCGCAACTATCGCTTTGACAGCAGCAAGTGGAATGAGCTGGAGAAGGCAAGTCGCGAACTGAAAGGAAGTTCTGCTGAATTTGAAAAGCTGAGAGAGATCAGACAAATGGTAAGTTCTTTCGATTCACGCATTTCGATCTAAACCAATTTTGCAAAGTCTGGTGCTGTCCAGTGGGGAAAAAGGAATATGTATCTACCGTACCACAGTCCCTTATGTATTGTTTCGTCGATAGCATTGGCATTGTCTGGGACAAATATCCTAACCTATTATTAGGTTGTCCCATAAGTATTTTCATATTTGATTCTTTACCGCCAAAAGTCATTTCTTCGTAAACTTCTCATGGTAATTTTTCGATAGAGCAAAACAACCTCTATAAGATGCCGTTTAAACATTCACACAAGATGAGATCCACACAAAGTTTGAAACCGAAATTTAAAAACATCCAGATGCCCAATAACTTGAAAAAAATCATACCTTTGTTAAAAAAATCTTACGGACTTCCAACTCGTTCTAGCATATAACTTCCAAATCAGACATTCAAACGGACAACTGCTTGTATTTTTTGCGTTGCTGAAAACCAAGAAAATGCATGTTTTCGTAAGAGTTATGCTGGGCTGTTCCCACATAGACGAATCTAAAGGCCACTGCATGACGAAGGCGCTCAAGCAATATTA